TCGGGGCCTTATCCTGGCAGTTGGTGCTCATCCCACACCTCTGAGCATCACTGGTGCTGTTATTGAGAAAGGAATAACTGGAGAATGGTGTGAGAATGGACCCAGAATAATCACAGCCAGAGCCCAAAAGAGGGAATCCGGACCTTTTATCCTCACTAATGACAGCAGCAGGACTGCAGCCTGCTCAGGCGTATGACCACTGTTCCAAGAGAAAGCACACAGGGCCTTTATTGTTTCTACTGGAATATTCCAAGTGTATTTTGTCCACTGTGCAATAGTTCTGTGGGCATTCTTGTTACTTTGGAGTGTCGTTGACCTGGTGTTGGATTGAAAACTTGCTCCCTGCCTACAGATCTAATTCAAAGGCAAATCGATACGGTTTTGTGTCAAAGAATGAGGCAAACATGGGCTTTTATTTCAGATCACAAAAGATCCTTGGTGTAATCTGAATCTTAAATTCTTCCCACATAAAAACAGGCAGTTGTATTTTGCATCCTCTGAAAGGTGTATTAAATCAAGTTTTACCTTCTGAAAGTTTTTTGCTTGCGAGTTTTAGAAATAATTTCCTCCTGAAGGCACTTCCAGTAGGAAGCACCTCATAAAATCATGGCATGGTATGGAACCAGCACAGAAAGTGGCTGCAGATACTTCTTACAGTGCACAGGCTAATTATGGCTCTAAAGCCTGAGAGAGCTGGGATTGTTGAGCCTGGAGAGGAGAAGCTTTGGGGTGACCTGACTGTGGCCTTGCAGAGCCTGAAGGGACCTGCAAGAAAGATGGAGAGAGACCATTGCCAAGGGCTGGAGTGACAGGACAGGGGGAATGGCTTCCCACTGCCAGAGGGCAGGGTTAGATGGGATATTGGGAAGGAATTGTTCCCTGTGAGGGTGGGCAGGCCCTGGCACAGGTTGCCCAGAGAAGCTGTGGCTGCCCCTGGATCCCTGGAAGTGTCCAAGGCCAGGTTGGACGGGGTTTGGAGCAACCTGGGCTGGTGGAAGGTGTCCCTGCCCATGGCAGGGGGTGGAACTGGATGAGCTTTAAGGTCCTTTCCAGCCCAAACCATTGCATTATTCTCTGAAACAAGTGCCATGAAGAACAGCTGGTATCAGAGAGCCTTACACAAGCAGTGGGTTTAACATTCCCCACTGGTTTAATTTCCACATAGTTTTTCAAGTTTTATTAACCCAGACAACTCGTAATAATTATGATAAACAGACATTGTCATCAAAAATCAGCAGAAACTTGATAAGATTAAGCACAATGCAATACATCTTC